TATTTTATTATATATAAACACAAAATCTAGAGAAATTCTTTACCGATGCATTTACTTCTCCAAATCTTCGACCACCGTGACATTATACGCTGCCAGTATCTCTACTGAATATACCATTCGATCGTCAGTGTCTTTAATAATGGAATTTGTTATGGCCTGGCAGCCATATGTTTCGCCATGCGGTCTGGAGTAAATATTAAGCGCATATTTTAGCGCCCCTGGCAACTCGCCCTGCGGCAGTCCTCGCGGCCCGCTAAAATCCCAACGTCACTGATGATGCGGTACGATGGCCGGTGGCGCGACCGTTGCTGTCCCGAAATCGATTTTGTCGAAATCGAATGGTCAAAATGCAGCCCGCTCGGTACGCTTTTACCACGTAACTAGATGCGTCGAAAAACTATTTGACATGTTTTTTTTCCTCCTTTTTTTTTTTCAAATAACATTTTCGATATATCATTTTTGATGAATAATCGCTTTATATATATGAATAGTTTAAAATCATAATTAATAAAACTAATATAATTATTATTTTATTTTTGAACAGATAAGATTAAATATCTTTACAAGATTATATATTAATGTCAATAATAAAAGGGCTAATAATATTTTATTATATATATTATATTTTATTATATATATCTCATCCCGCATGATGATTTTTCCATCCCGTGTGTGATAGACAGCGTTTGTATAAATAATATGAAAAATATTAGTGACGTATTATGGGCGCACGTAAGAGGAGCAGAATTTTTCTCGCATAATAGGTTTAATATAATGTGTTCGCGAAGAATTCCGCGGTTTTTCATCAGTTTCCGGATTCGTGATAAATTTAATCTTCAACGCTTTGTAACGACGGCTCGTATAACGTACACATGCCGGAATGAAGAAAAAGAAAGGGTAAGGAAAGAGAAAAGCAATTTCAAGAGATAATAGAAATAAAAATATTAGAGCTACGGTGGATATAAGAGCTGCTTATATCAGGAATATTCATTGGCACGATTTTTACGAGTACCGATAAAATAAACTTTCGATAAAGTTATATATACTATATTGGATAGACCGTTTAATCCAAGTACAGGGACATATAACTATGTGATGTCAGAAATGTCATTTAATTTCTTATTATCGGCGACACAGCATAATTGTCAATGTCGGATTCTAAGTACACAAGTATTACAAGTTCCTCCAAGATACATTCGTTTTATATTTTTGTATAAAGTTGTTCTCTAATATTACTATATTTAACTCTATATTCCATTCCATTTCTATATTTGATTTGACATATCGTCGTCAATAACAGTTGCCTTTGATATGTTTTTTTTTTTTTATTTTAAAAAGGAGGAGAAAGATATTACATTTTTACGTCAATCCAGAGCAAAACTGTGCTGTTATTCATCACCATTTATTTATTTTTGATTCATTACGATAAAATTTCGGCCAGTCACCGCGATGACCCCAAGCGAACCTGTTGGCCGATGTATGTGTTATAGCGACCGTTGTATCTTCCAACGATAAAACAAAAATCAGGACCATGTCATCCATGTTGCCTATCTATCCTGCTCGCCTCACCGAACGTAGCCTTCATATCGAGATAAATAATTTCATTCAACCGGCGAACACGATTCGCGCTGTTCCGGATGCACTGATAAATGAATGATGTGAGAAGCGTCCGCCCCCCCCCCTCCGTCATCATATACACATTTATGTCTATCGTATTATGTACTTTTACGTGATCTAGATTCTAGTTCAATCTCTATTGTTATCCGTTGCGTATTATCATTTCGTTATTGTATAACATTTCTGTTATCAAATAACGATCATATGAGATTGATTCGCGTTTGCCTAAAATCATCGACGAAGAAGAGCCAATACTTACATTATAATTTAGATGAAATCTTCTAAATGTAATCTCTAAACATTAATTTAACTGAAATTACTTTAATTGCGTTATCTGCGGTATAAAATTTTTCGAGATTCGTTTTTCCTTTTGTCTTATTTTTTCCAAATTTTCCATTATGAGATCGTCCCAGGATCAAGGGAGCTAATGCGTTAGGTGTCGGAGAAGAAGCTCGACGTAAAAGTAATGATCCATTTCGCCCTCGGACGTCCAGCTTCGCTTCACGTGTGCGGCATGCTGGTATTGAAAATCGCGATACAGGGACACGCGGACATCGGAGGAAGCGAGAAAGGGATTGAACGAGAGGAGTTGGGGGAGAGGAGCGGTGAAGAGGACGAGTCACAAAGAGAGGCGATCGGGGATGGAGAGGAGCGCGAGAGGTGGTGAGAGGGCGAGTATCGCGATACTCCATCGGACAGAAATCGATACAGGGACGGCCGGGGTAACCGAGTGCGGGGGGAGAGAGGGG